GTTAATCTGATGAATGCGGTTGGTTTTTATGATGAACACTGAAGATGCTCTTCAGTGGTATACGCCGAAATGCCTTCAAGAAAAATGGCATATCCTACGTACAGTGGGAATCGATGATACGCTAAGCACGAATAAGAAATGTTTATATGTCGCTCTAGAATCAGCACAACGTTACCAGGTGGAGGTAAATGATGCCGTGCATGACTTCCGTGCCATAATTATTATGTTTGAATGAGTCGTTTGCCTTCGCCAACTATTCACGTCACGTGATACCAAATTTAGTATATGTGGAGCTAGCGAAACGGCCGCGAGCACGCTATGAGCACGGTATGTTTTCATGTTATTACATTACACGCATGTGAGGATTATGTTTGCACCAGTCATATATTTTGTCGTCCATTGACGTCACATAACACTAAATTTGGCATATTTTAAGCTAGCAAAAGAGTCGCGAGTGCATCATGAAGGGTCCATATACTCCAATGTAGCGTTGACGCGCGCGCACGCTGGGCACAGTGACGCTACGTTATCAAAACGCAAGCACTTCATAGTCTGACGCCAGGTGCACCGAGCGTCCACCAGCGTGGCCCGACGGCACCCGGGACGAAATGCAACATGCTGCATATGGCGCCCATGCGTTACGCAGAAAACACTGCGTCTCCCTGTTTTCGTGACGGAGGGACGCTGGACGCGCTGAAATGTGCATGCGTCAAAGCAACGCAGCGCGGAGCACGCCTGCGAGTATATGACAGGACCGGCGCCTGGCGTGCCAGCGCCGGCGTGACGCGTGGAAATGAACGCTGGCGAGCACGCGAACCGCGTCACGTCGAAATGTATTGGCGCCTTGACTGTGGCATGTAGTCTTATTTTCACATGACACGCATCTCATGGTTATCACGTTTCCACCAGTCACATACATTCGTCATTAAACGGCGTCACGTAATACAAAATTTGGCGTATGTGAAGTTAGTGAAATGCCCATGAGTGAATCGTCAGTGTGGCATGTATTCCTGTTGTTACATGATACGCATGTCCTGATTATCATGTTTGGGCGTGTCATGTAACTATGTTGTCCGTTCGCGTAGCGTAATACTAAGTTTGGTACATGTGAAGATAGCGAAACGGCAGCGAGCGCATCATGAGCGTAGCATGTAGTCATGTTGTTACATGACACGCATCTCATGTTTATCATGTTTGCTCCAGTATCATACCTTCGCTATTCAATTAAGTCCCGTAATACCAAATTTCGTATATGTGAAGCTAGCAACACGGTCACCAGCGCTTCAAGAGCGTGGCCTGTGGTCATGTTGTTAATGACACGCATCTCATGATTATCATGTTTGCGCCAGTCACATACCTTCGTCCTCCATTCACGTACTGTAATACCAAATTTGGTATATGTGACGCTAGTGAAACGGCAGTGAGTGCATCATGAGCGCGGTATGTAGTCACATTGTTACTTGATACGCATGTCGTGATTTTTATGTTAGGGTCTGTCGCTTGTGTTCGCCATACAATCATGCCATGCCATACCAGTTTCGCAACATGCCCTGTGAACTAAACCACCGCAAGAGCTACAGGACCATGAAACGTAACTCATGACATTCAGGACGTAAATGTCATGATTTTCATCTTACGACTAGTCAGATATGGTCTTCATATAGTCATGCTAAGCCATACCAAGTTCGGTCTCGATACCATTATCGAAACGGCCATGAGAGCTAAATGTCGTAGGCGGATAGATAGATAGATAGATAGATAGATAGATAGATAGATAGATAGATAGATAGATAGATAGATAGATAGATAGATAGATAGATAGATAGATAGATAGATAGATAGATAGATAGATAGATAGATAGATAGATAGATAGATAGATAGATAGATAGATAGATAGATAGATAGATAGATAGATACTCTCAAAGTCACCGAGGTCCGCTAAGAAATGCTTCGCATTTAATGCCATCGAAAGCTCCAAGTACTAGAGTTCAGTCACCGTTATATTACATGAGGTAGAAAAAGACACAAGACAAGAGAAAGCACACATAACTTTATGCGTTGTTTTTTGCATGTGCTATGTCTTTTTCGCGATGCCAAGCATGTACAACCAACAAGCCCAGCTGCCCACACCAACCCTAATAAAGTCTTTCACTATTTTGTAGTGGTCGCTGGAGCAAACACAAGCAAGCAAATAGAATAAGTGTCGTTTGACGTTTGGTAATATACGAGCTGCACTTACAAACCTTGGACATTAGGAGATGCCAACAGGAAAATTGACACGGTATTTTTCACCTAGGCTCATTCAACCACACGGTGCGAAGGAGGGTGCTGCAAGAAGTACGCGCACATTGCGTTTTAAGACACTGACATCCTCAGAGGTCACTGATAAAAAAAGAGTGCAGCATCAGTCTCTCTCACCACCACATGCATGCTATCACTTCCTTCCTGGGCGAACTACTTGTGTATCCTTCACTGTAAACCAGTTCGCTGCCTTAAAGAGGAACTCCCCTGCATTTTTGATCATTCTGAGAAAATGCTGCTTTCAAATAGTATTGGCAGTCCTGTAAAAGCTAGGGCCTAGACACTGCTCAAAAAATTTTAATTAGGCTATAAACAGAGAGTCAAAATGAAAAACAAAACTGGGAGCTGATCTGTCATCCATGGTTGGTACAGGATGGCGTTACGAGAATCCGTCGCCGATGACGTCACGAGATCCGCTACACTTGCGACGGCTGGCCAGGGTGTAAACATAGAGCGTAAAGCGATTGACGATGTCCGCCGACGCGAAATCAAGCTGTGATAGCTCGTCTAAGCTTATCAGTGACAAGTTAAAGGATCAGTGCAGCTGCCATCTGAGCGCGGAAGCGACGCTCCTTGCTTTCGACCCGCCGACGCGTGAAGCATCTGACATGCCTCGAATCGATTTCCTCGTTGCTCAATAATGTAAGACCCGACGTCGATGACGACCGACACGCTGTATGCAGCTGACAAAACTGAACTGTTCTCGCGTAGTCGTCGCCTCGCAGAAGAAAGCGCATGCTGCATCCGTCTGCTGTGAAAGGCGAAATTTCACATGCACAGGGTGGTCCGTGTTTAGAAGCGCGATTGCAAAATCTGCTACCAATTTTAAACTGGTTTTCTAAAAACTAAATGGCTTACGGTTGTATGTCTTTGCACATATCCCCCCGGTACCGACGAGAACACGTGTTCAAAGTTTTATTTGAATCTGTGAATATAAAATAAGCGCTGGAGTTCTCCTTTATAGGCGATTGTTTACCATGTCAAAATAATGGTGTTTTTATGTTCCCTAGACACTCTTGTGACGTGCTCGATAGCCAAAATGCTCAACCAATTCAAAAACAAACTTTAATTAGCGAAACACCGCAATACAGCAACCGAAGCCCAACCGAGTGTGCTTCAACGTGTGACCGAAACCTGACTGATTGCACATAATTCCCACCAGATGGGACCACTTGTCCACGCCGTCAAAGCTTGTGCCTGCGGCGATGGGCTAAAACGATTACGCATTTATGGTGAATATAAGACGAATCGTATGTGGCCCACAATGCAACACCACTTGCCACCTATCGCACGCCTGCCAACACGGAAAAGGAAATTGCAAGCTCAACAAAGGGAGGAACCAGCCAAACCCACAGAGAAGCAGACGCTGCAGTGGCATTGGCACATAGGTTCCGTCACTTCCACCAGGCAAAAATCAACATCACACGCACAATGTTGCCATTAATTCTGGCAAGTGAGGTGAGCGTTTGGAGGCAAGCTGTAAAATTCATTTGAAAAGAATCTGGGAAACCACCAAGCCTGCTATTTTACGAGAATCGAGAGAACGTGCAAATCAACGTACCAAGTGAACTTCATTGCGATCCATTGGCCCCGAAAAATCACCGGAGTTGGCCTTTAGGCCTGCTTTGCTTGTTTATAACTATAGCGGTCTTTTGACAAACAGAAATACCAATGTCATGGGGGTCTTAAAACAAAAAAAGAAAATCTGTGACATGGGTGTCTTGGTTTGTCAAAACACCCTTATCGAGGGGTGTTTGTTATAGACATGCAAAACATCCTTAACGGTGTAAACTGGTTCACAGTGTCGGCGAGAAATGGGCGAATAATAACAATATCTAGGTCTTTGCGCTCCGAAACCATGATTTTATTATGAGAGACACCGTATATAGTGGACGCTTCTAGAATTTTCGGCCAACCGGGTTTCTTTACGTTCACTCACATCGCACAGCGCAAGGGCCCCTACTGTTTGGCTCCATCGAACCCGCGACCTGCAAAATTGACAAAAATGCTATCACTATTTTTTTTTACTATCTGTGTTTCACAATGTACCTCATAAGGGGAAAGGTTCTATAACGCTCGTCCTCCATTACTCAAGTGGCAGTGTTACCAGATGTTAACGAGCAAACCAGCAAAAACTCACTCTAAAAGAAGCCCGAAAAAGCGGAAAAAATGAAATTTCACAAAACGCCATTTTGCTTTGGGCGGACAACTACCGTTACAATGACGACGACGACGCCAAAAATTTTCCCTCGGTGTGTGTGTGGAATACCTCTCAGGTGGTAGGTGCCAACACTAGCAATCAATCTGTGCACAGGATTACACAGGATACCTCTCAAATGTCCCTACCACCTGGGGTATCCTGAAGGTAGCCCACATCCCATGAGATACCTATCACGTGGTAGCTGCCAATTGGCCTGTAACGTCATCATCGTAATCATCGTCGTCGCCGTGATCCTGTAATAATTGTCCTTGAAAAATAATAATTTACAAGAGCTCCACGACCTTGAAGAACATATTAACCATTCGGTACATGGAATGGGCACTTGAAACGTAATGGCAATGCCCATGTGGTTTTTATGGCCAGATCACATTTAGGCTCAGCCCAAAAGATATTTGTTAGATATTGCCATATAGGTTTTCTGTATTGAGCTTCCATGGCTGATGGCAAGGAAAGTAAATATTTGTTCTCTTTTTGCAGTGATGGCCAACTTGTGGAGGCAACCAAACTTTCGCAATCCCGGACAGGGCATCGGCTGACAGAGCTCGTTAAGCAAGTTTGGGTATGACTACCGATTAAATCAGTAGTACAATAAAGTGATCTGAAATCAAATATCAAAGCGTGTTTATATTCCAAGAAGAAAAGTACTTCATATGCAAATATGCTAGCCTATTAGATGCGAAGCAGGTCTTTGACTAGTCTGTGTAACGATGTCCATCTGTGTCTCTATGCCAACGCGCGGTACCGCACTCCCCTCATCGCAGGTGTTGGGGTGGTACCATGTAGGTCACGCTTTACCTCGCAGTGCATGGTAAAGTTACTCTCTCCCTCACCAGCCACGCGGTCGCCGCTTGTTCCTTCTCTCTTTCTTCACTCTCGCCACCACTCCCCATGTTCTAGCGCTCATATAGTGAGCACACTTGGACAGAAAAACTTTATTTAAATAAAAGTAAACCCTGCAGGGTTACCGGCCTTGGCTCAGGCCACTCCGACATTTTGTGCGGTGAGGCGTAGCCTTTCCACCGCTGTCCGGGCCCGCTGGGTTGCCACAGTTGGTCGTGCAGATCGGAGCTAGTCAGCGCACTTGGCCAACGCTCCTCGAAAAGGTCCGGTTTTATATTGTCCTCTCGGTATATTACTGTGACCTGTGTGCATTTTCATAGAATATATGCCATATCTGCATGTTCGTGCTTACAGAGGGTACAGCTTGTTTGTGGGTATTGTCTGGAATTTACTCTGTTCAGGTGTACTGAATATGAAAAGGTTCTGGTTTGCAATCTTCGCCAATCTGTTTCTTGAGATCTGTCTAGCTGTTTGTGTGGTGGCGGATATTCTTCTCGTTGTCGCTTATAATGTGCCAATATGTCATGATACGTGATCAGTCTGTCTGTCGTCTTGTATCGCATACGCATTATTGTCATCACCTTCATCATCCCCATCGCCTCCACCAGAGTCGTCCTCCTTCTGTGGTGAGTGTGGGGGGCCGGGCCGTCACTATCCTAGTCGTGGTGGGTTAGTCCTCGCACAATTTGGTGGGCCTTTTCGTTGAGGTTTTGAGGAATGGTTGTGTCTTCGATGTTTATTTCCCCCCTGTGCGCCGGGATCCAGTTGAGGTATTTGGGTACAATTTTGCCGTTCCGGAAGTCTTCTGCTCTGCGTTTCAGGATTTTGGCTGCTTCGGTGGAGACCCATCTCTTTGTGAAATTCCTAATGGCCACCTTGGAATCACTGATTATTAATCTCTCGTGTTTTCGACCATTGACTACGGCCAGTGCAATGGCCATTTCTTCCGCTGCCTCCGAGGATCTGGTCCTTACGGAGCCCGTGGTCAAGGTCTTCCCTTTTGTGTCTATGACCACCATTGCGAAGAAGGAGCCATGCACAACCCTATTACTGATATCTTTATTTCGGGAATACCGGGCGGCGTCTACAAAAAGCACACCCTCCCATGTACCGTGGTTTTTAAGGATGATTTTCGTGCGGCTTTTTCGTCTCTCAACATTGTGTGCAGAGCGCATACTTTTTGAGATGTTTTCCGTAATTATTGCGGACCGGACGTCCGGGTGAATCTGCGCCTTGGGACCTTTCATTCCGTGGTAATTATTGGAGATCTTTTCCATAATTTCTCTACCCGCTATTGTTCCAGACAATCGTTCGAGTTGCGCAATCCTTTGTGCTTCAGCGATCTCGTCCAGCGTGTTATATACTCCGAGTTGTAGCAGCCTTTCCTTCTTTGTGTATTGCGGTAGACGCAGCGCAGCTCTGTACGCTTTTCTAATCAGCGCGTCGACTTTGTCTTTCTCGGCTTTGTTCCAATGGACGAACGCCGCTACGTACGCGATATGGCTGATTGCGAAGGCTTAGACGAGTCGTACAACGTTTCTATCTTTAATGCCCTTTCGTTTTTTGGATACTCTTTGTATTAGTCTAACGGCCGCTATGACTTTCTTTTCCAGGCGCGTTATAGTTTCCCAATTGATTGTACTGGCTTCGATCCAGAGACCCAGGACTCTGATCTTCTGAACCAAAGGTATCACCGTGCCATTTCTAGTGGTTATCCTGATTCTTTTGTATAATTCTGCTACGTTTCCTCATTGTATGCCTAGTCTTTTGGGGTGGTATAGTAGAAGTTATGATTTGGCCGGTGAGCATTCCAATCCGGTGCCAAGATGGCTCTCAACTCCATCCACCACCTCTTGAAGTCTAGTCTCCATCTCGCCTTCACTGGTGTCTTGCGTAGTTCAAATCGTAATGTCGTCTGTATAAATTGTGTGATTGATACCTTCGATTCGCTCTAATTTTTCGGATAATCCCATCATGACGAGGTTAAACAGCATCGGTGACACGACGGACCCTCACAGTGTGCCAGCACTGCCCATGTCCACTGGGATGCTCTCCTCCTCGTCCAGTCTAACCGTGGCAGTTCTTCCCGTAAGAAAATTTCTAGGCCGAGTTGCGCAATTCGTTTTATAAAACTGCTTGCTCGACAATGTCGAAGGCCTTCTTTAGATCTAGCCCGATTATTGCTCTCATGCCTCGTCCAAAGGGGTCTATGACTTGCTCCTTTAGTTGTATCATGGCATCTTGTGGGGGGAGCCCTCTTCTGAAGCCGGTTATGTTGCTGCGGTATACGTTGTTAGACTCGAGGTAGCCGTTAACCCTGTTCAGGCAAGCATTCTTCATAACTTTACCGACGCGAGAAGTCAGGGAGATGGGCCACATGCTCTGGATTTCTAGGGGTTTACCTAGCTTATGAATGAGGATCACGTCGAATTTCTTCCATTCGTTGGGTATCTTCCCGTTTCTCCAGCACTCGTTGATGAAGTCTGTCAAAGGGCTCGTTCCCTGGTTTTCCATGTTCCGGAGCATCTTGTTGGACACTTTGTCGGGACCTGGAGCTTACTTGGTCTTGATAGTCTGCAGGACTACCCTGATTTCTTACTGGGAAAAGTCTCTGTCAAGATCTTTGTTGGGAGAACCCGAGTATTCCTGGCGTTCGACTGCCAGGGGCCTGCCGAGGTAGAGCTTGACGATTTCATCACCCATCTGATGGATGTTCCTTTTATACCTGTGTCTTAACTTGGTCATTTCCGCTTTCACCGCCGTTTTGATGGCTGACGGGCCTAGCAGGTGCTAGAGGATTTTCCATCTCTTGTCTGTGTTCATGTTGCCGTTCATGGCGTCGCACACTTCGTCCCATTCCTGAAGGCATAGCTGGGTACAGTGTGTTTCGATGAGCTTGTTTAGCTCGGCGAGTTTTCTCCTTAACTTTTGATTGTGTTTTTGCCTATGCAGCCTTTTCTGAATAGCTTTTTTGGCTTCGACAAGGTGTGCGAGCCTGCTGTCCATCCGCATTGAGAGGGTTCCGCCACACCCATCTTCCTCTTCTCGTGGAGCCAACCAATCATCCCACTTTATTTCGGTTGTGGCTTTTCCTACGTCTCGTAGAAGTTTTCTGCTGCATTCTTTTATGTTTTCGATGCGTCCCTGTTCTTTCTCGTTTCTGCTTTTGCGAAATTCGTCCCAATCTACGCGCCTGATTGTCCATTTGCAATTCCTGGTAGGAGGATTGCCTAGGGCGATGCTGAGGATCCTGTGATCAATTCCCAGGTCTTCAAAGGTGTTTTCCCACGTGAATCGCCCGGCGTTCTTGCAGAGGGTTAGGTCCGGCGTGTGTCCCTGAGAGGACCTGCACCGATTCTGGTGTGCGAGGCTGGCTCATTCAGAATGGCTAGTTCGGCCTTTTCGATGAGGTCGGCAAGAGTTTTTTTCCTTTCTTCGACGAGTGCCCATATCCCCACTGCATGTGTGGAGCGTTAAAATCTCCTCCAATAACAAGTCGGTTGTTGCCTGCGATGTTCATCGTTTCGTTAATTAGTTCTTCGAAATTATGCTTTAGGCCCTTTTTAGATGGGCTGCTGTATACGTTTAGGACAGAAGTGCTGCTCTGCTTTTTGCTGCGTGGCACGACCTCTATAAGAATGTGGTTGATATCCGTGACTTGCTTCGTAATGTGTGTGATAGCAACATGCCCTTTCTTCACTAATGTGGTCACGACTATGTCTCTCCCCTTTCCTTCTGTGCGTTGTTCGTAGGTGGCATACCCGGCAATTTTGGCATGGTCGAGTGTCTCCTGCAAAATGAGCACGTCAGGTTTTTTTTGTGGTGGCTTTGATTAGTGGCACCATCGATGCTTTTTATTAGAAAAGCCATGGCAGTTCCACTGCCAGATGACGAGATTTCTCATTTTGGAGCCCGCCATGTCTAAGACATTTTCTTCTCTAGCTCTTCGAGCCGCTTGTCGTATTTTAGTGCCAGCGCATTACTCTCCGCCTCACTGTCGCTAAGTCACACGACCAGCATCTTACACATTTTCTTCATTTTGTCCGACAGTTTGTTCATCATGTCCTCGAGGACTTCTGTTTTTTTCGCGCTATAACAGGGCCTCTTGACCTCTTTTTCTGAGTCATTTTGCTTTTTGGTTTTCGTCAGCAGAATTTTTCGCTTGGCGCCTGGTTGCCGTGTTTGTTGTTGTTGTTGTTGTTGTTTCCCTGTAGAAATGGCTCGTACCCAAAGAAGGGGATTGGCCGATTTTAAGGTGAATTTGCCCTAAACTTTCAGCATTGTGTCATTGTTTCCACAGCTACCATTTCTACTTCCTCATTCTCTTTCTCCCCTGTGGGTTCGGTCACTGGCGGGGAGAAGGCCGCGATGGCGGTCGACGGAGGCGACGTTTGTATCTGCATGTTCATGAATATTTCATTAGGTGTTTGCTGTAGTTCATCATTTTTTCAGCTGATTCACTGTTCAGCTTTTTGGCTTTTTCTAGCTCCTGTCTGAGTAGCTTGTTTTCCGTTCTGTATTCCTCTACGCGTTTGTCTATGTCTGTGTAATTATCCCTAGCGTTACTATTATTGCCGGACCTTGCCGAATCACGATTGGCCACTACGTCTGATCAGCCCACCTTGTCTGGCGTCTCCTGTTCTCCTTGCTGCTTCGTTGTCGCTTCGGGCGTCCTTCTCCTCGAGGTGGATTTCCGCCTGCTCCTGGTCCTGTGTCTGCTTCTG